CAACACACTACACTCACCCCCCCTCCCACCACCACCACCACACACACCACCACCACCACACATACCCACACAGATACCCCTACACCCCCCCACACACACACATATCCCACAACCCCACCCCTCACACACACTCCGCACACACACACACACACACACACACCACACACATATATGTCTTCCATACCCATCCCCCACCTCACCTTGGTCACCCTCCTCCTTCTCCTTGTCGCTGTTCCTCTCGGTGGAGGTGCGGTGGAGTTGGTGACGGAGGAGTTCCCCACAGACACGCCTGATGTGATCAATCCTAGCTGGTTGTATGATACGCAAGGGCATACCAATGCTGACCAAGATCGGTTCGGTATTTCTACGGATGTCTCTGGTGATGGTCATGTGGTCGTCGTGGGTGGTCCTGGAACAGAGCTGGGGAGCATGCAAACGGGTGTGGTTCGCATTTATTATCGTCAAGAAAATTCTTCCTTTGCCCTCCACAAAATGCTCTGGCATCCCTCGGCAGGTGCTGCCATCGCTGCTGATTGTAACTTTGGTGCTTCTGTCTCTCTCGCTGAAAATGGCAACGTCCTCGCTGTCGCTACCTTTTACGCTCATAAGCTCCTCGCTCCTCCTTCGAATGATCAAGTTCTTGTCTTTGGTCGACATGTCGGTGGTACTGATGCTTGGGGTCTTCTCACTACCCTCACCGCAACGTCTGCTACCGGCCTCAAGATCATCGGCTCCAAGGTTCGCATCCGTCACGATGGCGACGTCGTCTTCTTTCAGATCCCTCTGACAAACGACGGTACGCCGGCTCCGCCCAGGATAGCCTATGGCGCCATCGATGTCTTTGCCCGCAACCAAGGTGGTCCCGATGCCTGGGGTCACGTCAACACCCTCGCGCCAAACTACGTCGGCCAAACACCGAGCCGGTCTCGTTTGGCTACGCCATGGCTGCTGCCGGGGACTGGCTCTTCACCCTCCATAATGTCGGCTCTTCCATCACCAACTCTGCTCACAACATCCTCACCATCTTCCACGCCGCAGACGGCATCTCCTACGTTGAGCACCGCATCCTCACCCCCGCAGAGCTCAGCCTCGCCGGCTCGTCGTCAAAGTTTGCCGGCATCGCCGCCATGGACGACACCCTCGCCGTTGCCAATACCTTTGAGTCGGGTACACTCTCCAACGCCAAGGGCGAGATCGTCTTTCTCCGCTACGATGGCATCGGCTCTTGGAACGTTGTCGGTGAGGCGGTTAACCCAACCCGGGCACAGGCGACCCGTTCCGCTTCGGCTTTGCCCTCGACTTGTTCAAGGACGCCTCCGGCATGCTCTCCGCTGTCACCACTGGCTCGGCCACATCCCACCTCGAAGTCTTCTCCGAGCTCTCCCCGGGCATCTTTTCACCCACAGCCTCAGTCGCCGCCCCGGGCAACCCGCCTCTCCTCGCCCACTCCTCCGCTGCCATGATGTACATTGATGAGCTCTCGGCCGGTGGCGACACCATCGTTATGGGCGCCGCCTCCATCGGCACACGTGGGGGTTTCTACGCCTTTCGCACCTGCCCCCTCACCAACGCCGTCCTCCCGGCATGCGCCTGTGCCCCGCGCTGGCAGGGCCCCACCTGCGAGATCCCCATTCGTCCACCCGTCATTGTCGCCGGCCACGTCGTCGACGACAACGACAAGGACGTCATCATCTCGGCCGGCGACACCGTCGACCTCTTCTTTTCGTACCCGTCCAACGGCGCAGGCTTTGGCTCGACCATCGCCTCGCGCCCCGCTGTCGACGCCCTCCTCGCCTTTGACCCGCCGCTCACTCCGCCAGACGGCGACTACATCGCTGTCTGGCTCGATCCCGGCAGCTACATGACCCTCCGCATCTCCATCGTCTCAACAGGAGCTTCGTCCTCGTTTGTCGGTCCACCCCTAGACGCACTCGCCGTCCGTGTCATCGGCACTTCCTTCCTTGCCGCAAACGGCACTTCCTTCCCGCCCGACCCCTCGCTGGTCTTTGCCGACTTTACCGGCTCGTGGGGCACAGGCTCTGGTGCTGAGCCCGGCGAGTTCTCAGACCCGCGCCTACTTGCCGTCTCTCCCGCCATCTGCCCTCTCGTCGGCTGCTCGCTCACCCTCTTCGGGTCAGACTTTCAACCCGGCTGCTCCGTCCGCCTCGGCAGCGAGCACTACGCTTTCTCCGACTCACGCCTCACCTACTACAACTCTTCGACTCTCGCCATCGTCACGCCCTCGTACGCCGCAGAGGGATACCAGACCCTCAACGTGACCAACATTCGCTCGGCATCGTCGATCCTCGCCCGCACCATGTACTTTACCGACGACTGTCCGCAGCCTGGCTCGTTTGGCCGCGGCATCGCCTGCCGCTCCTGTCCCGAGGGTGCGTACTGTCCCGGCGGCTTCCGCATGTGGCCGCTGCCCGGCTACTGGACGCCCAACGAGCGCGTCGGCTGGGTCGAACCCTGCCCAGAGCCGGCGCTCGCACGCTGTCTTGGTGGGCAGAACGCAGCTTGCGGCCGCGGCTACACGGGTGACTACTGCGCCGAGTGCGCAGAGGGCTACTTTCTGCGCGGAACAGAGTGCGTCTCGTGTGGCGCAAACGCAGACGGCATCTTTGCCGGCCTCATCCTCGCCAACTCGGTCTTTTATGGCGCCTTTATTGTTGCCGCCGTCTTTGTCAAGGACCGCACCCTCTCCACCATCTCGCGCGCCGTCATCACTGTCCAGATGATCCGCGGCGTCGCCAAGATGAACACAGAGCACCTCTCGCCCGAGCTCCGCTCCGTCTACGCCGTCTTTGCCCTCGTCACCATGGACGCCGAATTCATCCGCCCGGGCTGCATCGTCTCCTCGGTCTTTCCGGTTCTCTTCTGGGCCAACGCCGCCCTCCTCGCCTCTGCCATTGCCGCCGCCGTCATCATCATTGCCTTTGCCAAAATCGTCACCGGCTCGCACCGCTTCTACCGCAACCGCCTCACCCGGACCGTTGTCATCCTCCTCGCCATGATGTACCTCTCGCTCGCAACCTACGTCCTCCGCGGCGGCTACTGTCTGCCCGGTCGCGACGACAAACTCCGCCTCGTTGCCGAGCCGTCTACTGTCTGCTACCAAGGCAGTCACCTGCTCGTCGCCATCGTCTCGTACGCTCTGATCTTATCCTACGTCATCGGTTACCCGCTCATCGGCTTCTTCAGCGTCCGGCGCAACACCGCCCGACTGTGGTCCGACCCGGTCTTCCGCTCGCGCTACGGTTACTGGTACGAGCAGTTCAAGGAGGGCGCGTACTGGTTCGAGTTTCTCCAGTTTGGAACTTACGCCAGCCTCGCGATATGCGACTCGATTCTCATGCACCTGTCGAACATCCAGTTGGGCGCCTCGCTCACCACCCTCGCCGTCTACTTTCTCGCTGTCATCGTTTCACGCCCGTTTGCCTCGCCGTGGAAGAACGCCATGGAAGTTGTGTTCACCCTTGTCTCACTCACTCTCATCGTCCTCAACCGCATCTCGGGCTCGCTCTCCCAGACTGCCCGCTCCGCCGTCTCTGCTCTCATCTTCTCGGCCTTTGTCTTTGCCGCCCTCGCCCTCGTCCTCGGCGGCATCATCTACTTGTGCTACCAGCGCAAGACAAAGCGCATTACCCTCAAGTCGTTCTTCCTCTCCATCGTCGCCCAAAAGGAGGAGCGGATCGCCGGTCACGACCTCACCCGCCAGTCGTCCGCCATTCAACTCGACGCTTCCGCCCGCCGGCTCGCCCGCAAGATGCGCGCCCGCCTCGAGGCCGCCGGCGCCATCTCCTCGCCCGCCGTCCTCCCGCCGCACTATCCGCTAACCGCATCGGAAGAGTCCGCAGCCACCGCAGAAGCGTCCGACGCCGGTGCCCCCTCGAACGAAGGCATCGAGCTCTTGCAAAAGTCCGATGACCGCTCCTCGCGCCTCTCGCTCTCAGGCGAGAGCGCTGCCCTCACATCCGAGCCCCCCTCGCCACAGACGCCCACCTCGCCCATCTCCACTTCGGCCCGCGGCAAGTTGTCGCCGCGCAACCTCCTCGCCGCTTCGACTCGCAACCGCAAGGCTCTCCACCGCCAGGCCGCAGCCAAACCGCCAGTGCCTCTGGACACTAGCCGCTTGCGCATCGAGACCAACCTCGCCGCGTCCACCTCGGGTGGCTCGTCCACCGAGCTCTCCCGGTCGTCGCCCGGACATGCCCCACCCATGCGCGACTCTCTCGCCGCCCCGCGCAACCCGCGGCTATCGGTCCTCTCTTCGCCCAAGACCCGGTTCATCCCGCGCGACCGCTCCGCCTCGGCCATATCCACCTCGCTCGGCGATCTCTCCGAGATTGAGCTCTCGTCGTCGGACGCCGAGGCACTCAACAGCTCAGCCCCGTCGCCGCGGCTCTTCCGCCGCAGCTCGCGAGTCTCGCCGACAACTCGATACCTCCCGCCGCGACTCACCCCGACCGAGCCGGCGGAGCCACCTCCCGCCGCCGTCGAACCGCCGTCGTCGCCACCGCTCGCCCGCGGCTCATCGTCGCGTGAGCTCCGCGACCGCCACTCCGGCCCAACCCGCCGCAAGCTCGAGCTCAACCGCTCAGTCACGGTCTCCGAGTTTGACACCTCGCTCAACACCTCGCTTGACTCGGCGTGTGAGGCCGACTCGGACCCGTCGGGCACCGGCCTCGAGCGGCGGCGCCTCGCGCGGCGGCGACGCATCCGCCTCGGTGCCCGCCAGTCGCCGCTCGTCGCCTCGTCGCCCACACGCGACGTCTCGGTTGGGTCGTCGTCGCCCGGCCGCCGCTTCGCCTCGCGTACCCGTGTGGTGTCGGACAACCCGCGGGCTGCTACGTACCGCTCCGGCTCGCACCTGATCGGCCGCTCACGTGCCAACACCGAGGTCGCCGGCCAGAGCCCGCCGTCGCCGCGATCGCGCGGCTCCGGCCGACGCAGGCGCGGCTCGTTTGAGCGCGTAGAGTCGTTTGGTCCGGCGACCCAGCGCTGACGAGCAGCTTTTACTCGCCGCCGGTAGCAGCCACGTTGAGGTGACGGGCCAGCGAAAAGGTGTCCACAGCGCCAACACGGACAAAGCCGGCGTCAGAGTCCATGGCCACTTGCTGGACGTAGTTCCACAGCGAAGAGCGGGCGAGGGCGGCGCCATTGCCGACAACAATAAGGTGGTGGCGGGCGCGCGAGAGCGCGACGTTGAGCCTGTTGGGCGACTCGATGAATGAGCGCATCGACGACGAGACGGTCGAGAGCACAATGACCTGCTTCTCGGCACCCTGGAAGGCGTCGACCGATGAGATCTGGAGCTCGCTGAACGCACCGGCCTCGTCGGCCTTGGCCGCCGCCTTCAGCCGCTCGACCTGGACGCGGTACAGCGCGATGACACCAATGTCTGCCGCCGCTACGCCAAACTCGCTCACCAGATCACGGACGGTGGCAAGGACAACAGCAACCTCCTCGCTGTTGGAGAACGACTTGCCCTCTAGCCGGTCGCGCCCGCGAAAGACATCAACAAACATGAGCGTCGGGAGTGCAGGGTGGAGGCGGGCGCGGTCGTCAGCGGTAACGCCGTCGGCAAGGCTCGAGCCGTAGAACAGAGTGTTGCAGATCCGTGAAATGGTCGGATGGCATCGGTACTGTGTGTTGAGCATGACCGGAGTGACGCCGGCAGCAACTGCCCGATCAAAGAGCGAGCGGCCGAGACCGGGCGCCGCCGGCGACGCGGCCTCGGTCGTCAGCGTCGGCGGCAGCTGCTTCGGATCGCCCACCAACACCAGCTTGGCGCCCTGTGCCCGGAACAGCGGCAGCAGCGACATCGGCTCGAGCATCTGTGAGGCCTCGTCCAGAAAGATGAGCGGGAACATCGTGCCGTCAAACTCCTTCTTGAACGCCGACAGGCAGGTCGTGCCAAAGACCGGCGCCGTTTTGAGCTTGGCCGCCACCCGCGACGACGCGCCCGACTTGAACTGCGCCAGCGCATCGGCAATGAGGGCCCGCTCGGCGCCGCTCTCGGCCGTCTTCAGCATGTACTTGAGATCGGCCTCGTATTCGGCGTCCGACCGTGCCGACGCGCCAGCCTTGAGCCGGTACACGTGCGGGAGGATGGGCTTGGCGATTTTGCGGACAGAGCCGACTCGCGAGAACGACTCAAAGCCGAGCTCCAGAAGCGTCACCAGCACACGGTCGACCGCCACGTTGGTCGCCGCCGAGATGAGGATGCGAAGCTTGCGTGAGACTTGTGCGGCCTCGAAGAGCTCCACCAGAAACATGATGAGGACCGAGAGCGTAAACGACTTGCCCGAGCCAAAGACTCCGTGCACGAGGACCAGGCTACAGCCTGTCGCCGCCCGGCCGGGCAGCGCCGCGCTTCGCACCCCATCGTCATCCTCAGCCTCGAACATTCCCAACACCGCCTCAAAGACCTGGACCTGGCCGGCGTTGAGTGAGTACTCATCGACGTAACGGCGCATGAGCGCTGCGATCTCGCTCGGCTCGAGCTTGAGGACAAACAGGCTATCGCCGCCACGCGATACCGCCGTCGCAGGAGGCGCAGGCGCCTCTGCAGGCTGCAGCAAGGCCGGCAAAATCGGCATGTGTCGCAACTTGGGCTGCGCAAGCACCTCGAGCATCGACCAGAGCGATTGAGCGTTGGGCCCGCGGATGGCGTAGACCCGCGAGCGGCCAACAAACGGTGGCTGCGAGCCCTCGAACCGGAGCTCGAGCTGCGACTCGGACGACGGCGAGTAAAAGGTGGAGACACCAAAGTAGGTGCCGTCCGGCGGGAACTCGCCCGACCGCGAGATGAGCCACACATCGCCCTTGGAGAACGCCGCCGCAGCCTCGGCCTGCTCGAGCAAAAGGTACGCCGAGCCAGCCACAAACGCGCGCCCGAGCGAGACGCCGGCCTCTTTGACCAGCGACGTTGAGCCGTAGAACGCCACATCGTTGCTGCGAAGGACTCGCTCGCGGGCGCGCGTGCAAGTCCGCGCCGCCGCAAACGCGTCGCTTCCACGCGGCCCTTGGCCACTCCCGTCGGAGCTCGCATCGTACCCGCCGGAGCTGCCCCCGCCTGGCCGCAGGGCGTCGACCCATGCAAAAAAGTCGCACTTTGAGCCGGCGCACTTGAAGAACGCCCGGCCCTGGTTGCGCCCGGCCTTGCGAACGACGAGCATGCGCGACTTGCGCGCCGGTGCGCAATCGCACAGTGGCGCCTTTGGCTGCGCACCCTTGCCGGCTCCAGAAACTTGGGCCGTCTTGGCCGTGATGGCCGGTGGGTAGCTTCCAATCCGCCTCGAGAGCCCGTGGTAGTCCTCCATCTTGCGGGCGAGCTGTGCGTTGATCTCCTCGTAGATGGCGGCCTGAAAGGCTGCGATGTAGTCGGCGGGCAAGTTAAAGGTGGTTGCCACCTCGGTGTACCGCACCGAGCCCGCCCCGTCGCCCCCCTGCCCGCCCGATGAGCTCCCGGACCCGCCCCCGCTTCCGCAGCCCACCTGAGATGCGTGCGGGATGGTTAGCTTGCACGCCGCCGAGACCGCGGCGCGCTTCCGGCGCGAGATCCACTCGCCGCCCGCCGGCGCGCTCCTCGCGCCACTCGCCGCCCGCCCCGTGGCCGACACCAGCGGGCGATGGCGCTTGAATGGACGCGCAAGCGTGTGATCAGGAGCCGGTGCTGGTCGATCGGCAGGACTGGGCGTTGTCGACGCACCTGTCGCGGAAGCCACAGCCGCAACGGCAGGGCCTGGCGACGGCGATGGCACGCCCGAGAGCAGTGAGAGCAGCTCGTTCCTCGACCGCGACCGAGGCGCCAGCAATCTCGGTGATCCCGGCGGTGAGCCGGGCCCTGCTCCCGAGACCGGGCTCTGTCGGCCGGCCCCACCACTGTGGTCGACGGGAGCGGGAGCCGCGGCGTGGAGTGAGGCGCGTGGGCGAGCGAGGCGTGAGCGTCGCCGCGGCTGGGCGGAAAGCACCGGGCTTGCCCTCCCCGACTCTGTCGCCGCTGGGGCTGTCTTTGCCAGCGGAGGCGGAGGAGCCGCGCCGTGAGGGCGGACGAGATCTTCGACTTGAACAATGTGCTTCTGCATGCGGATCTCGGCGCCCGGCTGGACAATGACGCCCGTAGGGATGAAGAACGTCTCCAGCACCTTGCCCTGTTCGTCCTTGAGGGTCATCTGCGAGAGGAGGAGGAGGAGGAGAGGGGTTAGGCTTGTCGTGTGTGTGGTGGGGGGGGGAGGGGGGGGGGGGGCAATGGCTCCGGTTGGTGGTGACGGCGGCGGAAAAAGGTCGTAGTTGGCCTCGGGGATGAAAAAGGTCGTACTTTGGAGGTGTCCGGGCGGACGGCAAGGGTGCCGTCATGGAAGACCTTGCGCTTGCGGGTGAGGTGGGTGGTGTAGAGGATGGTAAAGGTTGAGCTTGGAGTTGACGGTGTGGAGGATGATGTGCCGGTGGACATGTCCGTCCGGGTCCGGTTTCGGCAGAGTGCGGTGGTGCCCCGTGCCCGTCTGCCCGTCTGCCCGTCTGCCCGTCGAGTGGCGGCCCCGTCGAGTGGCTGCCGGTCGGCGGCCGCCAAACAATCGATTAGTTCAACGTTCACAACTCGATTAACCCGTATGAGGAGGGGGAGGGGGGGGGAGGGGGGAAGGGGGGGTGGAGGGGAGGGGGACCAGTTTGATCACCCTCGCTCTACTCATGGGCTGCCAACGATCGAATGATGCATACTCAGCATCACTCACAGTCATGACCACAGCAGCCACGACCACAGCAGCCACGACCACAACAGCCACGACCACAACAGCCATGACCACAACAGTCATGACCACAACAGCCATTACCACAGCAACCCACGGTATGATGACAGAACCATATGCTGATGCTGATACTTACACACATACACACATCATATACATACGCATACACATCCCCCTAATCAACCAAGTCGATCTCTCCAAACCACCAGCAAGGATCATCATTGCCTGCCAAAGGCCAACCAAGAACCGGCCAACGCTGTCCCCCTCCCCTCCCCC